CTATATATATATATATATATATATATATATATATATATATATATATATATATATATATATTGACAATTTATTCTAACTACAGCCCATCTTTCTGAAATTGGCAACTTGGTCGAACAATTTTCGGCTACACTAGCTACACGCGAGAAGTGTTCCCTACTCCGCAACCTATAACTCTATGTTTACAATCTTACTCCCCCTACTGTTAATAATAGACCGGCCTACGCTTTTACACCGATCAAAATTTTAAATTTAAGTTTATTTTCATAAAAGTTTCGCACTGAGGAATTAGACAGAGATCGGGGTTTTGCTAATAAAATACACCGTCTTCAAAAACATCTGTCGGTGAGTAATTCCCATTTGTCTCTTTATTTCCCGCTTCCTTGATGAAGGACACAGGCGTTTCCGAAAATTTCGGACTTAAAAGCTTTCTTTCTGTGCTTCATATGGTTAATATTTAATATTTGGTAAATGATGTTTTTCGTGCTGATTGTATTGGTACTCTTTCGTTTTTCCTTGTTTTATTAACTAACCTATCTATTGTATATATATATATATATATATATATATATATATATATATATGGGGAGGGAGACAAAAACGGAAAGGGAGATAGTGCGTTGGGAAAATTTAACTTATCACTGTCCAATATGCCACAATTTTAACAGACTCGATTTACACTGTAAGTCACGAAAATCAAAATTTTGTTTACAGAAGAAAAAATTTGCTGCTTGTGAGTCTTAAAAAAAAAACACGCGCGCGCGCACACACACACACACACACACACACACACAAAGAAAACTTTCTCAGCATCCACCTGACAAATGTCGATGGTCGCATGAGTAAGCACTTCAGGAGGTAGCACTTCTTCGATAGTGAGGACGCCCATTTCAACAAGTATATATCGACAGAAATATGCGTAACTTATTATACACACCTATGTTTGGTATGTGCCTGCAATAATAAAATTACCTCATTTTACAAACGTTCACATGCACACACACATTCGTGCGTAGATACGTTATTTAAGTGAAATATATGTGTGTAATAACTAAATATTTCAAATAAAATAATACATATATTTCTGACATTTATACGTCATGGACTAACTAACCCCTTCATACACACATACATAAATCTATATTAGTGGGGTATCTGCGTGCTCATAATAGTAAAAACGACTTTATGTTTTTATTTGCAACTTGTCCTATTTTGAAAATGTTTTGTTTGTATTTTCTAACTGAGATAGATAGATAGATAGATAGATAGATAGATAATGTACAAGTTGTTTATTTGTAAAAAGCACAACCCACTTTTCAGAATCCGACCAGACATCAGAATTTTATTCTTGAATCACTTCTTGATCTCTCTCTCACTATTTCTCTATATATATATATATATATATATATATATATATATATATATATATATATATATAATGCTAATTTGACTAACAAACCTATCTTAATTTTATATTCTGTTAAAGGCCATTGAATCTTTTCATTAGCTTTTCGTCCTTACGAACATGAAAACACGACTTTACATTTACCCAAGGGAAATATCCAAATGTAGGGACCTCCACAAAAAACGCGATACCTAAGTTTTAAAATGATTTTTTTTAAATGGAAAATCTTTCTTGAAGATTATATTTTAGTTTTAATTTCAAGTTAATAGCTTAATTTTAATATTTTTAATAAGCAATATACTTTGCTGTATTTTAAAAACTAATTTAAATTTATAGGAAGAATTTTTTTTTTGCTAAAAGATGTGAGGAGCGCACTTTTTTAGTCGTCTTTCACCACAATGTAATTCTCTTTATCAAAAATCTTGCAAAAATAAAATATACTTTTCAGAAATTTATATAATATGTAATATTAGCTGATTTAAAGTATAATTGATATAATTTGAAACAAATATTTACTTTATTTACTTTAAGTTTAAAATATCACAGAAATGCATTTTTTTACCCCAAATTTTTAACCCGACAGCAGCTGTATTGTCGTACTGACAGCGCGATGACAGATCCATTGTTGTTCTACGGAGACTTTATCTGTAAAACATAATTGAAGAAAATTACGCCATTCTATATAATTGTTAAATACTCAGTAATGTCAAAGTATAGGAAAATATTTTCCGTAATCTTATGCATTATTGAATTTTAGAAATTTTGGCTTTAAATTTACTAGAGCTATCGCTCTTATTTTTTGATAATATCTTGTATTTTCGCCCAAAGTTACACAAATTGGCACGTTCATGCACATACAAAAAAATTCAATTTTTTTTTTTAAATATTGGTATTTGATGATTTATATTCAGCTTTTCCATTTATGATTAATAAATATAGCTTTCACTTAATAATACATCATCTAAATGGCTGAAATTAATAAAGAATTTTAAAAGATTTAAAACTTAATAAATTTTTCGAATTAATTTTTTTAAAAAATGAAGACAATTCTTATAAAAATTTATTATTAATCGAAAAAAAATTCTCAACACAATAGTGTCCTTAATATGTCTCATTCATAAAAGCAATTAAAAAAAAGTTTTGTTTTAATTCAGTAATGTCATAGTTTTATTGAATTTCCTATTTTACGATTCAGTGCAGATTTTCGGTAAATGGTGTTTCTGTTTGACCAAAACAAATTGATGATTTGAATTCTACAAGGGGTCCTGCTTTTGACTATAAGCATGAAGAGGCTGGATTTTTTAATTTCTCGGCATTTCATAAAATTAAGTAAGCGTGAGTAACAGATGTAAAATATATATATATATTTTTACCAAAATTTTCTAAAAACAAAAAATTTAAATAATATAATTCGTTTGTGAATAGGTCCTGAAAATTTCATTAAAATCCGACAATTGTTTGATTTTTTGCAAGAATTTCCAAAACGATTTGTTTTTAACGCCAAAAAAGAAGCTAAAATCTTTGGGCCACCCACTGACGCAAGAAAAACGAGATTTTTAACCAAAACTTCAGACATTCTAGAAAGAATTTTAAAATTTAATAAAATAATCGATTTATACTTTAGTCTTTCTTCTTAATAATAACAAACATTTTGACGATATAACTTGGTTTTTATTAAGTTTAGGGCCTTTTTCATCATGGCATGCTCTGTTTAAGAATTTTTTTTAGTGGTATCTATCGAAATGTTTGAATTCTAGCACTTTCGCCCATACACCTGGTCAGATCTTATTTAAGTTCAGCATCATATTTCTTTAAACAAAAAGCACGATTAACAACTTTAGTCCTCTGACCGCGATAATGCCAAAAGGTTATGATCGAAAGCATTTGATCCCAAATATTTGGACAAGGTTTATATAGAGGCACTCTTACTATCAAGCCAATAAATGGGACGAGAGAACAATCAACAATTAATATAAACTGAGACGGAGGAAACAGCACAGCATTAATTGAAATAACAACGAAGGAATTTATTTACTATATTCGCATGCAATAAAGTAACGAAGGTTCAAAGAAAGTTTACAAATAAAATTTTATATAAATGAAATTTTGTATGAATGAAATTTTGTATGAATGAAAATTTATATGAATGAAAGTAACAGATTTTTTCCAAATTGGATGTTTTAACTATCGTATGTTAGTTTCAGATTAATTTTTTCGTCGTATTTTTTTTTTATACGGCTGAAACGTTGTTGAAAGCAAACAATAAAGACTAGGAAATTGTTATAAAGAAAAGATACAACGTTCTAAGATAGTTTAGAAGTTAGACATTGCAGTTAAGTAGTAAATGGGAGAGAGTATTTTTTACGTTGTCCTATGAATGTATAAATATCGTCATTAATGCGGAGATGTGTACACTCACTCATAGCATTAAAAATAGTAATAGAGGAAACTTACTGCTATTGTGAACATGAATTTACGCCAGCGTTCTTGTAGAATGTTAACCCAACAATGCTTAACTAATGAATGAGCTGTATGAAATTTGAGTAATCAAATTACGAAGAGATATTGCCGCTTCTAATTTATCTTAGTGAGTTTTTTTTTTCATTGAAATTCCGAGTTTATATAAGCATTGAGTGGATTAGATAGCTTATTTAATGATTGGTGAAATATGTTCTAGAGTAATTACAATACAAAACCGATTTCTGTACGTATACCACTTGAAACCCGACGTGTTTTCTTGCGCATAAACCAGAAGCATATTAAGAACATCCCCTGTTTTTCTCATATATATGGAGGTAGATAACAACACTTCTTCTTCTTTATGTATCGTGTTGCCTCAGGAAGTAAGCGATCTTGTAGCTCTTAATAAACTTTGACTTTTAGGCTGCTGTTTTCTTAAACATAATTACGTGCAAGTAACAAGCCATAGTTTACAGTCAAACCACGTTGAAAACACCGATCCTCGTCCGACTATCGAAGCTAAGCAGTGCATCTTGGCAGAGGTGCGTCACCATCAACAGCAAGGAGATAGCGTCTCTAAGAAAGTGACACATTGAAACCTCAAGTAGGAGTTGCGACCGCTAATTTTACCAAGTCACTTGGAATGCAATTGAAAAAAAAGCATTCTGATCGTTGGATCCGACCATTCTTAGAGGTCAGACAGAAATCTGAAAGGGCCATGAACCCATCTTGCTCCCTCCCCAGGATCCCCAGCGTTCAGAGTATTAAGAAGTATGTCATTATCTATGAGGTTTTTTGTTTGCTTATATCATTCGTTCATGTGTAAAACTTGCGATATCCAATAAGACAGCCATCAACAGATAAATATTAATGCGTCTATGTGTATGTGTATGTGTGTCTACGAGAATTTACTCCTTCTCTTTTTGTTTCTTTATGAATCTGTCTCCGCCTCTCCTTTCTCACCCAAACCAGTCAATTGAGTCAAAAAAAAAATACCATAAAATGTCGACTGGTCGACTGTGAATCCAATAAAAAGAGTCATAATTATTTATGATTCGTCTTATGCAGAGCTTTCTTCTCGGTGACAACTCAATATCTGAAGCACCCAAACAGAAGCCGCGAACTACGTGTTTCGGTCATGGGTACCAGGCTAGTGATATTCGTTAACATTATTATTAAGCAACACACTGATGATAACAGTAATCAAGCCAAAGGCCGGAACGTAGTCAACAAGAAACTATTTATATCATTTCCTCTGCAGGAGAAACGTTATGTCACGTGACAAGTCCTGTAACCAATTAAGGTCGTAGGGACGTCAAATATACTGCAATCAGGAACCCATCCTTCTTCAAACTCGTCTTATATTCAGTTTCCTTCTCCTGGATTGATGCCACCTCAAACAAAGCCCAGTGCCCCTTGCTATTTAACCCATAGCTGGAGGAAGATGGATTTATGACTTTCCCCAAGAGCATCAGCGCGAAATGAACGAAACAGAATAGCCTTGAATTTGAATTCGGGATGATGATTTCACTTTCGGCGACAATAGCCAATACACTACCTGCACTTCCTTTTGGGACGAATGGGAAAATCTACGTGCCGTCAAAGCAGATGACGATCAAAACAAAATATGAAAGATCTCCAAGATTGGTTCAATTTGGCTGAACAAACTTTCAACTTCAGCTAATAATTTATTTAACTATAATCAGATTTTATTTAAATATACTAAAATGGTACTGGTAATATTAACTGTTTCCTTATACGAAAGCATTCAGCAATCATTTATCGAACAGCCAGTGCTATTGTTGGCTGAAATTTATAAAAAAAATCATTATCATTTTTTTTCAGAAAATAAGTTTCTCTCAAGTCCACTAAATGTTATCGCTCTTTCTAGTACTGATGAGTGTTTCTTTCCTAACCTTTTGTTTGAAGTATTGTGGAACGTCAACATCTTGATTATGTCATTATTCTCTCTTCGAATTATATGTGCTATCCATTTTAATTGAAAGTTCTCAAGTGATTTGGTTTCTGTTATTTGGTAAAGTGCTTTGTGATTTTATAGCACCAGTCCACAAGGTTCGAAGAAGGATACTCCTCTCTAAGACCTACAGGATACATTCACTCTAAGCTATTTTTAATCATTGATCTGAGAGAGCATTTTGTATACAGCTAACAGGTTAAACATTTCTGAACGAGTATAGTGATATCCATGATATCCATATGAAGAGATGAATTAATAACTTTCCTACTGTATTTATACGAAATCAAACTAACGTCCACGACAGGAATTTGAAATCGGTTCACCAATCATACATCTGTGTGCATAACTGCCTCGCTATGCGCCTATCCTTATATAATATTTATAATGCTGAAAAAAAAGGAGTCGACTGTAGTTGGGATCATCGTGTCAATGTGAACGAACCTTTCCTTAGTTTCATAGTATGTGTTTCGCCAGTGATACATACAGTTTTGAATTCAGTGTTTTCCTTCTTCTAGATCGGTTGCCACCCAAGGATATAGAACCCAGTTTGTCCTGCTATTTACCCATAGCTGGGGGGTGGAGAAGAAGAGATGATTTCCCAAGTGTGTTAGAACGTAAGTGAATGAACTCAACTGGAATTCGAACTCGTCTCTCTGATGCCACAAATTGAGTCGATATCCATTACTGCATTATGCCTTTAAAAAGACTAAAGAAGAGGTTATAACTATTGTAAGCTTTTCAAAAGGTCATTCAATGCTAAGTGCGCCTCGAATGTTTAATTGTGCATTACCTAAGTTATTACAAATGATTTCTCAGTAACTAATGGTATATCTCGCAATCTATTAATAGTTTTATAGAATTACGAATAGGTAGATAATCTTGTCATGCTTGGCTTATTTCAACTCCAATTTATTATTTGGTGTGTATAAAAGACAATTGAAAACCGTATTTTTATTGTACCTAATTTCAAGTAAAGAATGATGTAAACTTATGCACACGCCTAATGCAAGTAAATGCTTTAAGAACTGAAGTTTGAAATCTTTTATGGCCCCATACCAAAGGTCACACTATTGCCTAAATTAACAATTTCAAAACATTGATGAGAAGAAACAGTTTGATGGATCATGTGATTCAAGCTGTAATAAGCGTGCATAATTATTTCATCAGATATTTTTAACTACACTCGTAGAACCTTTATGTAGATGTATATATATGTGAGTGTATGTGTGTGTGTGGTAGAAGGAGAAAGAGGAAGGACGAGGAGCAGACAAGAAGCTTTGAATCAGATCTGTGTACAAATAAAATCGGCATTTAAAAGGGGTGCTAAAACGAATTAACAGTTTTTACTCTGCCTATTTACACGCGTACCGACATCAACAATGGAGATGAGCTTGATTGATGAGTAGCGACAAACTGATAAGTCATTGTTGTCTATTTTTAACTCACTCGATGAGACTTGACTTTATTTTGACCCCCACTTCCACAAAACTTCTATTCTCCGATCTTCTTTATCTGCTGTGTCCCCTCAGGATGTGGGTGATCATGGCTCGCCACAATTTTCTGTCCTTAATAAATTTTGTCTTTTTTTTTTATTTCTCCTAAACCTTGTTCCACCATTTATTTACTCAAGCTCACTATGTTGTACGTTTCTTTCCTCTGTCCCTCTTGCCTTTAATCTGTCCTGTGAGTATTAGATTTTCCAAGTCCTTTTTCCTCATTATACACCCTAGAAATTTAAATTTTCTCTTCCTGATGTTACGTATAAGTTTCCTTTTTGTTTCCATTTTCTCTAAAACTTCCTCATTATTCACATATTTAGTCCATAGTATTCTCAGCATCCTTTTGCAGGACCACATTTCTGTTGCTTCAAGTCTCTTCTTCATCTTTGAGGAGATGGCCCAGCATTCACTGCCATATAGAAGGACAGATATCGCGTAACAGTTCAGTTCTCTTTTCTTTGTTTCTAACGACGTTTTTGTTTTTTAATATTCTACTTAACTTTTGGGATGCATCATTCGGATTTCACTATCACACTTTCCATCATCTGTCACAATCAGGCTTCTAAAATTCAGATCAAGTTATTAAACTTTAAAAATAAATCCTGCAGTAAAACATTTTATTTTTTTTTTTTTTTTTTTTAGTCGATATAACGCACTTGTCAGCTCTCTTAATGCAAAGGATTGTTTTAAAATAAAATCTATTAACTTATATATATATATATATATATATATATATATATATATATATATATATATATATATAAATTTCGCTGAATTACAGCTCGTCGGGTACAATATATCTTTACTCTGTCTAACCACGTCAGGCACTATCATGTTTACACCTCATGTATAAATTTGATGACCATTTATCTGTTTGCCCGTGTACGCACACCAGCACGCACGTATACGCTTGCTTATATCTGGTCGTTTGATTCATCTATCACTATAACTATAACTATAACTATATATATATATATATATATATATATATATATATATATATATATATATATATATATATTTGTTTGAATAAAAACAGACCACTTAAAGTGGTCTGTTTTATTCAAACATATCGGCTCTGAATTTTATATTGAGCTCTCCGGATATCATCCTCCTTGGTCTACCCATGCGGATTACCTAGTTTTGCAGAAACTATATATATATATATATATATATATATATATATATATATATATATATAGAGAGAGAGAGAGAGAGAGAGAGAGACTAAAGGACGAAACCCGAAGACGCTTGTTCAGGAAATGTTATATTTACGTATTTACAAAAAACCGGCACATTTACACACACAAGTCAAAAATCTTTTTAAATAATGGGGTTCGCTGAATTGTATTAAGCTTTTACATATAATTAGTAAATATAGTTTTTAGTTAATAACAATTTCACCTAACTGCTCCAAATTAATACAGAATTTTAAAAGATTTAAAACTTTATAAATTATTATAATTAGAATTTAAAAAAAAAGATAATAAAAAAATCAGTATTCATGGAAAATTTGTTTTTCTTAAGACAGTAGTGTCCATAATATATATTATTCATGAAAGTAACTAAAAGGTTTTCTAATTAAATAATCTTTTAGTTTTATAGCATTTTTTTTCTTTTATGATTCAGAACAGATTTTCATTAATTGGGGGTCCTGTTTTCATGATTTAAGAGTGGGGGGAAAAACAGATGTAAAAAAATATTTTTATCATGAATTTCTTAAAAAATAGAAACATGCAGGCCCGTGCATGGTTCAGAGCAGGTTTATCTTTCTAAGTATAAAACGCATGCGTTTCTATAATGCGCACACACGCACACACGCACACACACACACACACACACACACGCACCCACATGCACTTACACACACACGCATGCACACATACTTATCAATACAGATGGAAAATAACAGATCGATAAAGAAAGAAAGAAAGAAAGAAAGAAAGAAAGAGAGAGAGAGAAAGAGAGAGGAGGAAAAAGATTTATTAACCTACGCTTAATACGAATACTGTGCGAAAAGTGTACAGCGTCAGGTTTTCAAGTGAGGAGAGCCTGTCTGAGCTTTTACGCAGAGTCTAACATCAACCACTGGCCTACATTGGAAATACACAACGATCTTGACCACCAAGCAAATACACCTGCCTAAAAAGAAGTTCTTGATTTTTTACCTGGGTTCGAACAACAGCAACTGACATACATTGGAAAGTAACAACTATTTCAGCCACTACACCCACCTGCTAAGATATTTCAGCCACTACCACCCACCTGCTAAGATATTTACTAGGATTTGTTTGACATGGGGATAACTACTGAAAACAAAATTCACTATTAATTGCTTGAGGGTGGAGTTAAAAAATTTCCCACATTTTGGTTAAAATTTTATGAAAAAGCTATTTTCTTTTTACAGTGGGATTTTGAAGCTGTCAACACAAGTCAAACATCAAAGTGGAGAGGCACCTTATCTCCAAACAGGTGTACATGTTGGGAGATATAATAAATTACAAGTCCGAATTGACGACAGCTGGTAAAAAAAGTTTCACCATTAAATAATATAGATGACAAAAGGGATATAATTTCGTTTTCTTTGCGCAATTTTCTTAGTTGTCCATTATAAACAAATGAAATTATAGGGAAAAACACTAAACATTGATAGGTTCAGATTAGTGTCCTCGTTTTGGTTGTTATAATCAAAATGTTTAGGTTGGTTATACTCTCCGGCTTTCTCGGATAGATGACCTATTCGGTAAGCTTCACGGAATTTCAATGTATAATAAAGATAGTTAAGCAAAAAAAAAAAAAAGACAGCTTGCACAATATCGTTTTATTTCGTCTCCTTTTATGTGATGTATCCCATCAGATTGCAAGCGATCATGACTCTCCACAACTCCCTATTCTTTCTATCTATATTTCTGGGATGAGGTATTGTAATTATTTATACTATTTACATCGTTCAGACTTTTGTCCTCATCTGTATTGTCAGATTCACGACGTTTCAACCGTTGTACGTTCCGGCCATCTTCAGGTGATATACGTTGCAATTTCAAACCGAACCCTTCATTTCGTCCACCTGGACGTTATAGTTCCACGTGGCATGCCTTTTCTGTTTCAGTTATTTTTCCTTTAGTTCAGATATATACATATATATATATATATATATATATATATATATATATATATATATATATATATATAATATATATATATATATATATATATATATATATATATATATATATATATATTATATTATATATGCGCAGTACTTATTGGAAAGAGATAGAGCTAACATATTCAGTTGTATGGGTATGAGTTTCTGACACTGGGTTTCACGCTTTGGCGATTATCAGCTGATCGCAAAAGCGTGAAAACCCAGGGTCACAAACTCATACCCATACAATTGAATACACACACACACACACACACACATATATATATATATATATATATATATATATATATATATATATATCGAATTCACCACAAGTAAGACAGTAAAGCCACTAAGACACATGCAGTTACTGGATGTGGGACAAATTGGAAAACAGAAACTTTACTAAGGAGCGAGAACAAAAGAAGATTACTCAGGAGAAGAGTAGATAGCGAATGACATTACATTTAAATTTTTAAGATGAAAGTTGTCTGAAAAGCAAGAAGCCAGAAGGGAGTTCCACAAGCGAGGAGTGCGAGAAAAGAAACTGTTAGCATGGAACTTACGGTGCATCTAGCCAATTCAACTGCATATCGATGAGACGGTGTCGCCAGTTTATTATTGCGCTTAAATTCAAAAAGTTTAGGTACCCTAGCAAAGAGCTCATCTGAACTATTACCATGAAAGTATTTATAGAAAAAACACAGGAAGGCACCTTTACGGCAGTGAGAAAGTGACTGATGCTGAGACGCCAAATATATGTTGGCACAATATTCTACCATTTTCTCTGTACATTCCATTCTCCGGATGTGCGAGAGGTCTAATAGATAGCGACTCGGAATGATAAAAAGGTGATCCTGTTTAGTTACGCTCAAATACCCTTTAGAAAGGTTTGAATCCATCTTCCCCCCAGATATGGGTTAAATATAAGGGCGTATCTGAAAAAATCATTGCTATCTCAGAAAAATTGTTAATGCAAAGAAAGTGTTATTCTTACAATCCAAAATATGTTTCGGCTTTAAATAATCCACAAAGTGTTGATAAACCGTAAAATAAAACAAATCAAGCAACAATTATTTTTTGTTTAGCCCCTAAACATTACATTTTGATTTCATAAGAAAAGAATTTCTTCACAGTCGACTTTATTTAAGATGCTAAACAGTGTTGCCGCCAGGCAATGTTTAGTAAACTTGTCTTGCTTTTGGAATCTAGAGGACTCTTAATGATAAGAATTAGAAAAGAACATCATTGTAAGCGAATCCTCTAGCAGCGATGTCATCAACTCTACGTCTTTTGTCGTACGAATTTTAGCATTTTAATAAACATTGTCTTCTTTGTGAGTTCGTCTCTTAATAGATAAGTGAGCCTGTCAGATTGTCTGTCAGTGGCTTTCTATTCCAGCGAAACATTTCCCAATCGTCTCATCTGCCCTATATAATTGGTCGCATTTCTTTCTTTATTTCTTTCTTTCTCTTTGTTCTTTCTTTCTTTCTTTATTTCTCTTTGTTCTTTTTTTTTATATTAAAACTGCTTTCATTGTAGACTTTGCTTTATCTTTTCATCTCGGTCGGCATTCCAACAATCACCTGCCTCTTGGCTGGTCCAGTTAGCTTACGACCACAACTCTTGTCGTTTGTCTGTCTCTCTGTTTCTTTCTTTCTTTCTTTCTTTCTTTCTTTCTTTCTTTCTTTCTTTGTCTGTCTCTCTTTCTTTCTCAGCACACACACACACACACACACACACACACACATACATATATATATATATATATATATAGAGAGAGAGACACATAACCTCAAATACATTTGGACACTATGTCTCTATCAGCTCATCTCTCTACATGAAAATCTCAAGGTTTTCTTTCTTATTTTACTCTTTATCGCACTTCCTCTCTTTCGTTCTCTGATGGTTTCACCTTCTCTTCCTCTGCTACATTTTAATTGCCACTCACTATTTGTGGTCTATTGCTTCTTTCTTTACTTCTTCTTTTAATCTAGAATTTCTATTTCAAATATTTCGTCTTTTTTGTCTCTTTCCAAACTCTCATAATGTTATGCCTTATCCTCTCTACACAGTCATACGTCACTTTCTGTCTTCTCTATCTATCTATCTATCTATCTATCTATCTATCTATCTATCTTTTTTTCTTTCTTTTTTCTTTCTTTCTTGCTGATTTTGCCCCTCTCTCCCTTTTAATTATTCGTCTTTCCAAACTTTCCCCTCTTCTCTATCTGTTACCTACTCTCTCTCAATCTCTCTCTCTCTCTCTCCTATATATATATATATATATATATATATATATATATATATATTAATGGTCTTTCCCAAATGGACAAATTCCGACAATTGTTTTAACATATTTATTGTTTATATTTGTTATTTTTATAGATACAAATATTTAAGTAAATGCTTTGTTTATAATAAACAGTATTAACAATACTTACCGGCCTGAATGTCCGAGAATTTCATAGAAAATATGTGTCCTACACGGAGCCGTCATATAGCCTGACGTGCTATACCATTTAGCTACAGAGGAAGCGTCTGGTTAGCGGAAGACAGATATTTTCTATTAAATTTCTCGGACATTCAGGCTGGTAAATGTTGTTAATGCTGTTTTATAAACAGAGCATTTACTTAAATATTTGTATCTATAAAAACAACGTATAAACAATAAACACACACACACACACACATATATCACTTTCTTTTTGCCGACCTGAGCGTTCGCTTCTCTCCATCTCTCTGCTCATCTCTTGTCTACTCTCTCTCTCTCTACCAATGTCTCTGTTTCTGTCTTTTCCTTTCTTTTTTTTTCTTACCTTACTACTTCCTCCCCTTCTTTCTCTCAATTCTAAATCATTCTTTTTCACCCATCAACACAAAAAGAAAATTAAATAACAACTGTCAAATATCCAGTCCAGCTATCAGATTGAGGCCAGAGATTTTCAGGCTTTCATTACAACAATCCAGTTATGGTATTTACGCATGTATGATTCGCATTGTTTTGAACCTAATTTATCTCTTTATAAAAGTTAGGATATGATTTTTACATCGGGGCCAAGTAATAACCTCACGAGTCTCATCGACCGTTAACACAAGCACGAATGCGAAACAAAAATGACGATAGCGAAATAAAAATTCTGCTTCTATATTCCGTGGCCTTTCAGGACGTGGGCGATCATGGCTCTCCACAAGTTCTTATTCTTTGTAACTATTAACAATGTTTGTCTTTTCTATCACCCAATCCCAATTCTTTACACAATCTCAGTACATAGGTTATTCGTTCTTTTCCCCTGTAGTTCCTCTCTTCAATATGTATTGTGTGTGTCAAATTTTCTAAACCCTCTTTCCTCATTATGTACCTTAAGAATTTCGATTGTTTCTTTCTGATTCTAAATATAGGCGTCCTTTTTGTTTCCATTTGCCTGAAAACTTCCTCGTTCCATGTTCAGTCTTTGGTATTCTAAGCATCCTTCTGTAGAACCACATTTCTATACATCCTTCTGTAGAATCACATTTCTCTTCTACATCTGTGTCCAGCATTCACTGTCATATAGGAAGTACAGGTACTGCATAACAGTTGAGCACTATTTTCTTTGTTTCTAATGAAATTTTAATGATTCTTGATACGTTGCTGAGCTTTGGAAAGGCGTCTTTCTCTATTACAATGTGCCTTCAGATTTCAGTTTCGCATTTTCCGTCCTCTGTTAAAACAATTGCTAGATATCATATTTTTTTTATACCTGTTTGGTTTTGGTGTCTCCAATTCTCATTTGCTAGTTTATATATAAAACACACGTTGGCCGTCCACTTTGTTTTATTATCTTAGATTAAAAATGAAGCGAGCATCTGTCATTAAAGTCAAAACTTTCTTAGCGCCACCATTTTAATATATATATATACACACACACACACACATATATATTTATATATATACACACTCACACATACACACACACATATATATATATATATATATAAACAGACACACACACATATATATATATATATATATATATATATATATATATATATATATATATATATATATATATATATATATATATATATATATATATATATATATATATATATATATATATATATATATACATATATATATATATATATGCTTAACTCTAACGCATTCTCTAACCGAGTGATAAAGTACGCCAGATCAAACGGTCATTTCTCCTACAAAGGAGGAATCAGGTTTAATACCCGCAGAAAAGCACATTTTGTTTATTAAGATTTCTCGAATGCACACGCCAATATATGTAAAACACACTATTTAAACTAAACATAAGGCGTCTATTTCAAATATGAGAATCCACTATAATAGCTTTTGAAGTAATAAAAAATATACGCATATATATTTGTGTGTATATATGCCAAATGTTAGAGGCCATTCTGGATTTCAAAGAATCTCCTAAAGATTGAAGGTTGCGTTCCTATCCATAAGGACACAATCTAAGAAACTTAGACGTAAAGGATCTGATTAATTAGACGGTAAATGTTTTATTAGTATAGATTATTAAAACGACTAAGGGAAATAATCACTCATAAATTTACAAACTTAAGTTGATTTACCTCACTTCCCACTGCAGATGGGACAGGAAATATATAAATACACATTATAATTATTATATTAATTGATTATTATTATTATTATTATTATTATTATTATTATTTCCTAACTCGACATTGAACACCATAATTACGAATGTTTGGCATAAAAAATTATCCTCCAGAAATGCTTTGCTCAACATATTTTTGGTAAAAGAGATTTCATATATATATATATATATATATATATATATAATGACGTTAACCAAGATTCAAAAGCACATTTAGATATGATGACGTTAAGCAAGATTCAAAAGCACATTTTCATATCACTAATGTTTAATTATATTTCGTCTATCCCTCCCTCACTGCCTCCTCTTTGGTATCGTCGGTAATATAATGAACTTTGTACAAATTAACTCTGAATTGAACATCATCTTTTTTTCCATGTCTTCACACGATCTCTATCACTCAAGCATCCATTTTGCTTATGATGCAGGTCTCTGTAAATCAGATCTTTACAAAGATAATCAACACGCTGATGTATGAAAATAGCCTCACGCGCAAACACACACATATGCGTTCGTATAAAATTCTTCTGTATTAAACTGCGTATGTACGCTTCCTTCTTTACACGTATATTCAAACTGAATTTAGATTGATTAGAACTTTTTTTTCTTAAATCGCTAAAATCGGGCATATTGACAAAGCTGTCAACAAAACATAATTCTTTTTATTATAACCTGATGTGGTAAAACGTGATGACCAAAGATGTGCTGTAAAAATGGCACCTACTGTCTCTTAACCGACTGCACATGTCAGAGTCAGAGGTATATAATGAAGTAAGACGGAATCGAGTACTTCATTTTCTTATGCTGAATTCTGCAGTTATATCAGGGAAGAAAGGCTCGAGTGACATTTCCAAAGACCAAACTTATGGCTGGGAAACAAGATCAGAGTATTTCCGAAAAAAAGCAGAGTGTTTGTGGATGCTCAAGTTTACTATACGCGAGTAGCTTTTGGCAGTGATTCGAAGAGGGGGAAAATCATCGATCACCAACAAAACATTGGGCAGAGATTTTCCCGTCAAATAGCAGTCAATTTCTGATACATTTACACAAGGAATGCATCAAAAGACAGTATTTCGAATATAGCACCAATTCTAACCTATGTCCAGCGACAAAAACATCTTCAATTGAAGTAAAACTGGACTTTGTATTAATGGGAAAAAGTTAGCCTGGTCCAATGGTTTTCTCTTTCACAAAAGAAATAAGAAATGAAATAAGTATTTATTTTATTAAACAAATATTTATTTTCCTAACACAATTCCTTTCCTTTTTAAATGCACTTAATTCAACACGTTTCTATTATATAAATTGTATATTATACAATGAAAAACTATAGACTAAAAATTAGGTAAAAAACTTTGTCATAACGATAATCTGTTCTTCTTATATCGTGCTTATATATATATATATATATATATATATATATATATATATATGAAGAATTATAGTCTCAAGGTGTGCTATATTTATGGGATAAAATGCTCAATATCAGAGATAGAGCGTGTGTAAATATAAAAGTGAACATTGAAGTCAACACTTAGAAGCGACAGTCTGTTTCATGCCTGACGATTGCTTCTAGCATGAAACAGCCTGTAGCCTCTAAGTGTTGACTTCAAAATAGTTATATATATATATATATATATATATATATATATATATATATATATATATATAGGAAGGAACTGGTTAGGTAAATAATCCAAAGTCCCTTAGTATTTTAGTTATTATTTTTTAAAATAGTGCTCGATACAAAAGTAGAGCATAAATATAATTATATTCCAAATCGCGACATAAGAAGTCCCATGTTTCAAAACAAGAGCTGAAAACTTCAATATAATTATTTAAATTGAGTTAAGATAAGCTCTGTTCCATCTTCAAGCGAAATTTTTTTTGGAATAACGTGTTTCTGAAATTTACGTGTTTTAAAAATTGAAATCAAAATTTCCATGGTAACAGCTAGGGCGAATTGTTTAAGTTGGGTAGGCGGGTGTTGGGTGTTAATAATAAGTATCAGTATAGAGTTACTTTCGTAGATGTCAAGTCAGGGAAGGTGATATATATATATATATATATATATATATATATATATATATATATATATATATATATATATATATGCTAATACAAGGAATAACAAAAGGAAAACCTTTTATGCTGCCAACATGATTCGTTCCTTGCGCAACTATAGGAATGGCTTATGCATCATCAACTTAGGTTGCCAACAGCATCATGGTGCACTATAAGGAAAATGCAAACCACTAATGACATCGTGATTATTTAGGCAACATTCTGCAGATAGACACTGGCTATTTTATGACGTGCACTTACCCCAACATGACTGAAGACCCTTCGTGTCAAACACTCTGTCGGTATAAGTCAAGGATACACCGACTACGTCTCTGTGGAGAGGACTAAACCACCTCACAAAGGGGTTACTTCTCTCCTGTATCTCGTGCAAACCAAACCTGTCTACCATTTTGGCTCTCGTGCAAATCAAACAGATTTCTACCTTATTGACTCTTGTTTAAACCAAACAGATGTCTACCTTTTTTACTTTCATGCAAAGCAAATAGATGTCTCCCGAAAGCTATGTATACAAACCTATCTGCAGTAAGTGATACTTCTAAAAAGAGTTTCACGCTGGAAATGTTTCGACAAATGTTGGTATTAGATCACCGCAACTGCTAAAGATGATGAAGACGTGTTTTCTGAAAGTTTTTGATTCTCTTATGTCAATAACGCTTCTCCAGACAATGCGATTATTTACTCAGAAAAGAGAGCTACGAAAAATTCGTACAGCAATACTTTTTACGCGTTCTGTACAAATTCCTCGAAATTTTGGGTAGACTTATGCACGATTTATGAATTATCCTTAACTTGCCTTAACTTTACAAAGAATCCAGAAATAGAAATGGTGCCCAATTAGGATCGAACTCATTACACATCTATCTTAATAACCATCATATTAGAACTATGATTATAAACATATGCATTTAACGTTCCTATGCATGTATGTATGAGAGCGTTTTCGCATTTCGACGTATATATATAAATATATATATATATATGTGTGTGTGTGTCGAAATATAGTCATCCACAGACAGACTGTTTCGCAGCTCCTCAGTGTGGCTAGACGTCGGATTACTTCAAGCCGTTATCGAAACTCGTCTGATTTGACATCAGTCAGATCTCTTACCCCTAGGCCATTGTCACACGGCAGGGAAGGAAGGGAATTTTAACGTCTTTCTCTATACAAAATACGCCAGCAGCTCATAGAAGAGTAATTCTTGATAGCAGCAGGAGCCACTGTTTTTTTTTTTTTTTAATTTTCCCTAGAGAGGAGATCTCAACCGGATTTCCGGGAGAATATACATATATATATATATATATATATATATGTGTGTGTGTGTGTGTGTGTGTGTGTGTGTGTGTGTGTGTGTGATCATTTCATCCCAGTGATGGTAATAAAGCCACTAAGACGCAAGTACTTACTGAGAGTAAACGAAACTGAGAAAACATTACTGAAGAGAAACAATATTAAAAGGAACGAGATTCAACGAGTCAAATGATGATTAATGTTTAACATTGCATTTTAATTTTTGAACATTGTAGATTGGAAAACAAGAATATGAAAGAGAGCTCAGTTGGCGTGAATTGCGAGTGAAGAAACAATTAGAATTGAACTTACAGTTAAATTTAGAAATTTCTTCAGTAAAATGATGAGACCTAGCTGCCAATCTAGCAACCCTTAAATTCACGAGTTCGCCGTAGTAAGCAGGAGAGCTCACCGAAAGAGTTGCCATAAAAATGTTTATAGAAAAGACACAAGGAAGATATGTTGCGGCGGCGGAAAAGCGATCGAAGCCGAAATGATTATGCGTGTGTATATGTGTCTAGATTTATATGATCTAAGCAGTTAACCATGTAATCGACAAAAACAAAGAGAAATTGATATAAATCTTTATTCATTTTGATATAATCAATGCGAACGCATATTTGTCCTTCATTTATAGGTCATTCACTTCAATGTTCTTTTTTAATATTAGCTACGGTCGTTGTCTAAAGGTTCACAATTAATGAATGCTATAATAAACATCAAAATAATTTTATTGTATCGGCATTGCTACATCGGTATATCTTCAAGATTCAAAATTAAGCGTTATTTAAACAAACCTTTAATGTTTTTTAGCCTTTATTATAAAAGTGCTTCATCATCTTTCAGCTAATAACTGCTATTGCCATTAGCAAAAACAAATGGCGGTTTTCGAATATCCTTGATTGTTTTTTGTAACTATAAAAGGTATATTTGTAAACTTTAGCACATACAAACTTTGAAATATCTCGAGTTGTGATGTGCAATTCATTATGCCTTACTTTGCTATGGCGTCTCTCACAGCTTAAACGTAAAGATTAATTGTGCTTTACTTTGCTGTGAGGTCTCTCGTAGCTTAAACGTAAAGATTAATTGTGCTTTACTTTGCTGTGAGGTCTCTCGTAGCTTAAACGTAATGATTAATTTGCTTTACTTTGCTGTAAACTTAAACGTAATGATTAATTGTGCTTTTACTTTCTGTGAGGTCTCTCATAGCTTAAACGTAAAGATTAATTGTGCTTTACTTTGCTGTGAGGTCTCTCGTAGCTTAAACGTAATGATTAATTGTGCTTTACTTTGCTGTGAGGTCTCTCATAGCTTAAACGTAAAGATTAATTGTGCTTTACTTTGCTGTGAGGTCCATCTTAGCTTAAACGTAAAGATTAATTGTGCTTTAATTTGCTGTGAGGTCTTTAGCTTAAACGTAATGATTAATTGTGCTTTACTTTTGCTGAGGTCTCTCGTAGCTTAAACGTAATGATTAATTGTGCTTTACTTTACTGTGAGGTCTCTCATAGCTTAAACGTAAAGATTAATTGTGCTTTACTTTGCTGTAAGGTCCATCTTAGCTTAAACGTAAAGATTAATTGTGCTTTAATTTGCTGTGAGGTCACTTATAGCTTAAACGTAGAGTAATTGTGCTTTACTTTGCCGTGAGGTCCCTCGTAGCTTAAACGTAAAGACATGATGAAAAAATTACTAAACTTAATAAAAACATTTCTATCGTCAAAATTTTTGTTACTATTAAGAAGATAAGTATATTTTAAGAAAAGATTAAGACAAGTATATTTTATTTTTGAAAGATTTATAATAAAAAGAATCGTTTTGTTGATAGCTTTGTCAATATTCCCGATTTTAGTCATTTAAGAAAAAAATTTCCAATCAATCTAAATTCAGTTTGAGATACAGCAAAGTATTTTGCTTATTGGCAATATTAAACGTAATCTATTTACTTGTAATTAAAACTAAAATAAAAGCTTCAAGAACAATTTCCCATTTTTAAATTGCATTTTAAACATTGGGTATCGCTTTTTAGCCAATATATATATATATATATATATATATATATATATATATATATATATATATATATATATATATACATATATATATATATATATATATGTTATACAGACGACTTCAGAATCTCCTGCGACTCTTTTGAACGGTCTCCTTGTTTAAGTTGGTGAATGCTGCCATAATCCTTGCCATCAGTTCATCTTTGGTGTTACAAGAAGTTTTTTGGTCTCTCACTCAACTGCGTCCCACGCATAATAATCAAGGGGGTTGTATTCTAAGTAGTTAGGTGGCCAGACGTAAGGGGTGATGTTGTCGCAGAAATTGTCTGACAGCTATGACTGGGTTCTCCTGCTTGTGTAGCATGATGCATAGTCCTGTTGCCAGATATAGCGTCTTCCAGAAGCCACCCTCTTGACCCAGGGCAGCACTATCTCCTCAAGTCACTTAATGTAGGCCTCAGTATTGAGACTGGGGCCCTGTAGGAAGATGAATGGAGACATAACGTCGCCTTCACTCGTGGTCACTCCAAACACTTTCGTAATCACCATTAGACTCATCAACTCTTTCCGAATCGTCTGCACCGTATTCAGTTTGACACCCAACACTCTGAATTGTATCGGATCTTCCGGTTCGAATGCCAAGCAGTATATCATCTTGTTTCCAAATTTCTGGCCGGGTAAATTGCGTAATGATGCTCTTTTGTCGACTGTACAGTATAGTAGGATCATACTATACTGTGCAGTCGACTAAATAAAAAATGCACGAAATTAAAATACTATATGGCGACAATTTACCCATCGCACTGTGTGTGTGTGTGTGTGTGTGTGTGTGTGTGTGTGTGTGTGTGTGTGTGTGTGTGTGTGTGTGTGTGTGTGTGTGTGTGTGCATATTATAAACATTATTTTACTAGTTTTAGAAAAATCTGTTTCTTAAACAGCGAAACTATAATTTCGAATTAAAAAATTCATTAATTGCATAGATAGATAGATACTTAGGTTACCGGCTAACGTTATCAACATTGTTAATTCTTTACAAAGAATGGAAAGGATTTAGATGCATCACCGAAGTTGCAAATTCCGACAATACCATTCTTTTGTTGATTGGCACTCAATGTTAAAGCCACCGTCGGGCATTATTTCAACATAAAGAAACGCTGGTAAACTATTACTTGTCGAAATGCTTCCCCTACGCGCGAATATCGTTTTTCAGAATCTGATTTAGTCGCCCGCTGCCGTAATGGACAAGAAGCTAGCTCGTTTATGAGTTAGACGGACTGGTGTAGTCGAGCGGACGGTCTGTTCGTAAGGCGGTCCATCCAGGCCAACTTGTCCCAGACATTGGCATCGATCGGAACAAGAGACTGCCATCTTCCAACCACCAACGTCCGTCCACTTCTGTCTGCCTGAGTGCTGCTGGCAACAACCCCAACATCCAACACCATCACCGCCTGTCCATGCCTCCTCAGTCCCCACACCCGACAACCATTGCTGCTTCTCTTAAACATAATCATCCATCCATCACCAGGTCACCTTGCTTACCAACCTATCACTCTATAACTACAACTATTATTGCTACTACTACTACTATTTTTTCTTTCTTTATCCTTTTCTTCTTTTATTTCCATTTACCCCTCTTTCTCTTCATTATTTCTTCTTCTTCCTCTCTCATTTTCCATTCTTTCATCTCTTCTTTTAATACCGCCTTCTCCTCTTTATCTTCCCTTATGTCTTTTATAATTACTTCTTTTTCTTTATTTTGCTTCTTCTCGCCTTCAGCCTCCTCCAGCTCCTACTCCTGCTCCTTCTCTTCTTCCACCTAATATCCATTTTCTTCTTCCTTCGCTTAATATTCATTTCCCCTTCCTAATTCTTCTTCCACCACTTCTTGTTCGTACTTTTTTTTTCTTCTTTTTTTTTTCTCTTTTAGGTGCCCACACATCGTGTTTTTTTTTTACATTTTTCTTTCTCCGCCCTTTCTTCTGCGCTTCAAGAGGTAGCTTTTTTTAAAAAAAAAATTCGAAAGCCGAAGTGTGGACATCATTCTGAAACAAACTTCTAACAAACACTACACAATCACAATATTTCCTTTCCAACTGTTTTCCTCCTCTCACACTCTCTCCATTTCTGTCTTACTTTCTTGTTCTCTCAATCTTTCACCCTCTTTCTTTCTTTCACCATTTTTCTTTCTTTCCCTCAAAGTATTTTGTCCTTCTTTCAGCTTCTTTTTTAATGCTTGTTTCGCATTCCCTCTTTTTTGCTCTCTTTTCATTTTCTATTGCGTGCTTCAATACACGTTTATCTCAACCCTTTCCTCCTTTTTTTCTTATTCATCCAATTTCCCTCTATTTTCTCTTTCTTTTCTTCCTTCTTCCTCTTTCTCTCTCGCTCACAATCTTTGTCGCTCTCTCCCTCCCCCTCTCTCTCTCTTTCTCTCTGGATATTTTTCCGAATTCTTTTCCTGCACTCTTTCCCTACAACGTTTCCATATTCCTTTCTTTCTTCACTTTTCTCTCGTTTTACTCTACACTCGTGTCTTCTCTTGCTTTACACTCTCTCTCTCTCTCTCTCTCTCTCTCTCGTTATGTTTTATCAGGGTTTTTTGGCAGTTCCCAAATATACCCATCTCTTTCACTCTGGCCTCTTCCCTTCATTTGCAGTTGTAACTTATTTTTTCAGTTTCAGTCTTTCACTTCCTTACAAAGAAAGATAGAAAGAAAAAAGAAAGAAAGAAAGAAATAATATGCGTAAAACTTCAATAAAAACATGCAGATACCTTATCAATGTTTTATATAAGTATATATCAAAAAAGATAAAATAAGAAAACATTTATATTATATGAACATGTATGATGGAATGAGCCGATGATCAATAAGCCCGAACGCTGTAGATATCTCTCTATCTATTAATGTGCATATAAAAGTCATTTTTGATGTATAAATTCATCTACACATGCCAAAATCATATAACTACAAATCCATATAGCCTTACATAATAGGTAATCTTTAATATCCACAAAGGTACATTCAGATACGCTTTGGTTGATAGATAGCTAGATAGATAGATAGCTAGATAGACAGAGAGCTAGCTAACTATCTATCTAGCTAGCTAGCTAGCTCGATAGATAGATAGATAGATAGATAGATAGATAGATAGATAGATACCATGTTGGTATCAGACAAATGGTAGAAAATCTTTTACCACATAGTCATATTCTTACACTTGCTTACGTACATATCTCAATATTTAATATTCTTACGAGTAAATATATATATATATATATTTGTGTGTGTGTGTGTGTGTGTGTGTGTGTGTGTGTGTGTGTGTGTGTGTGTGTGTGTGTGTGTGTGTGTGTGTGTGTGTTTTCGAGGGGTGAATCACTCTCCTATCTACCCTGATAACGTCAACCTTAGAAGAGGTTGTAAAGTTAAAAGACCCGGAACCATTGATGATACCGATTATATATGATCACTGGCGACACCTCCAACGCATTGGAAAAATGGATGTTTAACTACATATATATATATATATATATATATATATATATATATATATATATATATATATATATATATATATCTGAACATGAAGTAAACACTCAGAGGCGACAGGCTGTTTCATGCTAGACGCATCGTCAGGCCGACTTTTCACTTTTATATTTATATTTACATACGCTCTCTATCTCTGATATTGAGCACTTTTATCCCATAAATATAGCACACTTTAAAACTCTATTTCTGTGTACACACACACACACACACACACACATATATATATATATATATATATATATATATATATATATATATATATATATACACTAAAAGGATAGACATTCTATGTTTATTGAACTTATCCATCGTCTTTTCTAAACTGCGAATCACCTTCCACCTACAACTTTTCGACTCAAATCAGTTATCTTCAGGAATGTGAATGTGAAAAAGTAAAATGAAAGAAAAAAATCAAAAGTTTTTTTAAGTAGCGCTGTTTTGAAAGTGTGTTCATATTTTTTTGAAGTTGAATCTGACTAATGAAACGGGAAGCCATGTCAGCAACGTGCAACAGCGACGTGTATCAGTGACGTGCAATGGCGTATACTTGTGTTTTTTGTTTTGTTTTGTTTTGTTTTTTTAGTCGCAGTTTAGAAAAGACGATGGCGTTTGCCATAATGTCGTTTTTAATGCGCGATGCATATGTGCCAACGACAAAAAAATTATCCTGTCTCTGTGACAACTGTCACGCTGGCGTCGACATTCCTCGCTCTAATGCAATAAAAAAGGTACTGTCGCAGTATTAGGAACGCTGCGACCAGGCGCCTTTTTCATTGATTAAGTCGGTGAATTGATCCTGGCTTGAAGTTTGGAAAAGATAATGGATAAATTCAAAAGACAGAATATCTATCCTTATTAATAAAATTTGTTTAAAAGAACAATTGCTGCCCATCTCTCTCTCTCTCTCTCTCTCTCTCTCTCTATATATATATATATATATATATATATATATATATATATATATATATATATACACACACACACACATATATAAATCATTAACTCTCAGTAGGACCAAACTTAACATGTTTATAACATTCAGAATGCTAAATAGGAGGGGGTAATAAGATCCTGATGAATAATAATAATACACTAGTACAAATACCGGATATTATCTATTTTACAAAAGTAAAATGGTATTAGTAATTAGTAGGTAATATTAATATTAGCATCTTAAATTGAGGTGTCCCTACCAATAGGCGATTTGGCTGCTAAATTTGGTCTAAGCAAGTACCTTATAACAAGAACACATGGAGCGTCTTGACTGGCTGGTGCAGCGCGGTCTATTTAAACTCCTATATTGAGCATGCGCGTGGCATCGCGATCGAGTAGAGTGTCTGTTATCCTTAAGAGGAGGAGAAGTCAAAGGTACAACGATTATGATGCATAAAACCCGAACCTCGTGATGAAACCAGTGCACAACATTAAAGACTCATCTCGATGCATCTTTACGATGTATTCACAATAAGATTTTACCTATATACGGGAACAACTTGATAGCTGTGGAGAAGGGACCAATTTCACACCAGAAAAGTAACAACTATGGTTACTATCCACAAGGACGTGCGGAATGACCCAACTCTTCTTACTTGTAATGCTTTCGCTGGATCGACAAAGATGATATTAAATTTCTCATACGTAAAATTAGTCATTTATTCAACTTCATGAATTAATACCAGCGAGTTGATATATGGTTCGGGTGATTTCACCAAACGTGGATTTTTCTTCTGGGGAGAATATAGTAGACTCTGTCTTCCCTCAACATATTTCTTCTTTCTGTATAAATAAATACAGTTTTCCCAATAGATTTCTATAGTTGCGCAAGGAACGAATCATGGTTTTCCTTTTGTCATTCCTTTTATTATATATATATATATATATATATATATATATATATATATATATATATATATATATATATATATTATAAGTTAACTGATTTAAAATATGTTTTCTTCGCTACACAGGAATTACCATGTTTCAAAAATCGAATCTAAAAACTTCAAATTTAATTATATAATTAAATCAAAAGCATTAGTTCTGTTTCAATCTCAAACGAATTTTGAAATATCTTATTTTTAAAAAACAAATTTAAAAATAACTTATTCCAAAATTCGCTTGTGGATGAAACAGAACAGAAAAATATCAATAAGAACACCGGATTATATATCTTACTGTTCTTTCTTTTTATTATAATAGATATATAGATATAGATATAGATATAAAAGAAGTGCTAGATGCAATCGTCAGGCCACGACGATTGCATCTAGCATGAAACAGACTGTCGCCTCTAAGTGTTGACTTCAATGTTCACTTTTATATTTACACACGCTCTATCTCTGATATTGAGCACTTTATCACATAAATATAGCACATCTTATGACTATATTTCTTCATATATATATATATATATATATATATATATATATATATATATATATATATATATAAGCACGATATAAGAACAGATTATCGTTATGATAAAATTGTTAACCTAATTTTAGTCTATAGGTTTTCATTGTATAATATACAATTTATATAATAGAAATGTGTTGAATTAAGTGCATTTAAAAAGGAAAGGAATTGTGTTAGAAAAATAAATATTTGTTAAATAAGATAAATACTTATTTCATAATTAGAATACGTATTTTTATATATATATATATATATATATATATATATATATATATATATAGAGAGAGAGAGAGAGAGACAGACAGACAGACAGACAGAGACAGGGAGATAGAGAGAGAGAGGTGGAAGAGAGAGAGATTTCGAAATTGTGTGTAACTACTATAGATTATTATATAGCTCTACCTGCATATCTAAGTATTTAGTATACGCACCAGCAATGGCGCTATCATATAGATAGATAGATAGATAGATAGATAGATAGCCATGGATAAATGGATTGATGTTCGCCTATAATGTTATCTCTAAATCTTTTTTTATCTCGGTAACTTTGACTCCCAATCGCTACATCATTTTACTCAAAGCGCCGATAACGTCAGAAAACACGAGCAATATTCTGTGCAGTTCGCGGTAGTTGGGGATAAATATAGACACACACGCACAATTGCACGCGTTACTTATATTCTTTTCTGCCAAATTCTCTCGCTACCCCCAATTCGAGTTATAAATTTGGGAACAGCTTTCCTGGGTGTTGATCACGAAAATATACCCTTGTTCTTTTTCTCTAAGCATTCATACCATACACAGTCAGGTTCGCACCACTCTCTATCTCCACACACACACACACACACACACACACACACACACACACACACACATATATATATATATATATATATGTGTTGTAACTTAGAGAAGGTTACTGAATAGAAGAATCAAACGAACGTTGATAATGAATAATAATACTCAGGACACGAACCACACATATAAGATTCGCCAGCGGCGCGTAGAAGTAGTCAACTGCTAGAAGTGAATCAAGTGAATTCCCCAATCAATCTACAACTGCAAGATATCGACCACTCGCTCCACGCGGTCAGATGTCGCATAAGGACGAATAATGTGGAGTATCCGAGCCCGTAGGCTAAGCCAAAAATTCCCCCGTCGACCCCGGATATAATGGGGTTGGGTACCTGTTTCCCGAGACGAGACTCTGCCCTTCGATATAGCCTTGTCCGGGGATCCCTCTGCCCGGAGGCAGAGAATTTAACCAGCAAAGTTAGAGACGAATCTCCGACTGCAGACCAACATACAGTATTTACTACTGTATTTATGTGAATGGGCACATACCCATTATCGTCCGAAGGTATGCTACAACAATATATATAATAGGATAAAGAACAAATAGGAAACGTTTAACAATCTAACAAGTTTTACTTTTATTAAAGCTTAATCAGACAATGAGTTCTGGAAAAAACACACTTATGAACATACATTATCATCTGAATTGCATAAAAACAAACTATGAATTAGACACACTTTATATATATATATATATATATATATATATATATATATATATATATATATATTGAGCAATATTTACGGTTTTTCCCTTAGAATTGGAATTCTTTTTCTAGAAGCTTCGAAGAGACTGCGACTTCTCTCCTTGAATTCGGAACGCCATATATTCTACTAACGTTATT